CGAAAATCACGAAGCAGTTGACCCAAGATGAAGACCACGTGCTGGTCTTCCCTACACCACGTATATCCTGGCATTTATCTGTATTGGGCCTGAAGATCCAACCCAATATAGATAATCGTTGGCCCAGCGCTAGGGGCACATTATAAATACCCTCTTCCATAAGAGGGTCAGGTATGTTAAACACACTAGATTTATGTACTTGCTAATTCTCTCTCTTTCTCACGTTGATATCAGAGTGTCTTGCACCCCCTCCTCTTCTCCATCACCGGCGATTTGGAGCTCACGACGTGTTGCTGCTGATCTCTTTCTGATCCAGTAAGATCACACACACACACACACACACACACACACATACACACACACACACACACACACACACACACACACACACACACACACACACACACACACACACACACACACACATATATATATATATATATATATATATATATATATATATGTGTGTGTGTGTGTGTGTGTGTGTGTGTGTGTGTGTGTGTGTGTGTGTGTGTGTGTGTGTGTGTGTGTGTGTGTGTGTGTTACACCCATGACTAATGTAAACAAGCATAGAAACATATTTAATGAAATCATGGAATTTGTAGGAAAACAAGAACGTGTGGTGTTTTTTTACATGGGTATGGTGAAATTGGTAAAACATTTATGTAGAACACGTTGTCAGCTGTAATTCGTTCCAAAAGAAAAATAGTTTTGTTTGTTGCCTCAAGTGGGATTACAAGTTTGTTATTGACAGGTGTAAGAAAACCTCATTCTAAATTTAAGTTTCCAGTTCCTACTTTGGAAATTTCAATTTGCAAAATTGACAAAAAAGATGTACTTGCTGAGTTATTATAGTCGACGGATCTAATCATATGGGATGAAACTCCCTATGGCTAACAAATTTTGCTTTGAAGCTCTTGATAAAAATTTGAAAGATGTTATGAGTGAAAGCACACATGCTTCTAAAATTTATTTTGGAGGAAAGGTTGTAGTTTTTGGTGGTGATTTCAGAAAAACTCTTCCTGGTATACCTAGAGGTAGTAGATTGGATATTATTCATGCAAGAGCCAATGCTTCTTATATTTGGGATCATTGCAAAGTACTAAAGCTTACAAATAACATGCACTTGCAAAGTGATCCAACAACATCTTCTAGAGAGAAAATCATAATTTTTTAAGAGTCTGTATGAAAGATTGAAGATGTGACCATGTCTGAGCCAAATGATGGGTGTGTTGATATTTCTATTCTGGAATTATTACTCATTTTTCCGATCCTATAAAGGCAATAGTTGAAAGTACCGATCCTGACCTCATTCGTAACTACCACGATTTCATCTGTCTTCAAAATCGTGCAATTTTAGCTTCAACAATAGAAGTAGTCGATGATATCAATCAATACATCACAAACATTCTTTCAGGAACTCGATATGTACTTAATTTATTTTTTGTCGTTACTAATGTATATTGTCTATTAATTTAGTTTTTACAATTGAATATTTTTTTCTATTAGGAGAAGAAAAGGAATACTTCAATAGTGATTTTATTGGTAGATCTGAATTTACTGACTTTGATGCATTTGAGCATCTTACCCTTAAATTTTTGAATGCTCTTAAAACTTATGGATTGCATAACCGTTCAATCAAGTTGAAAGTTGGTGCTATTATTATGTTGTTGCTCAACTTGGATCAATCTGAAGGGTTATGTTGTGCTACATGGCTCACAGTTACAAGTTTGCTAATAATCATGTCATTGAAGAAAAATTAATTTTTGAAAAAAATATTGGTAACATCATTTTTATTTCAAGAATGTCTTTATTCCCCCTCACAATCACCGTGACCATTTAAATTAGTGAGAAGACAATTCCCAATTATTGTTTTTTTGCTATGACAATTAACAAGTCTCAAGAACAATCTTTAAGCAATGTCACTTTATATTTGTCAAAAAAATGTTTTCGGTCATGACCAATTGTATGTCACAATTTCTATGGTTAAGCCTAAACAAGGTTTTAAAATTTTGATTCATGACAAAGATAAACTTCCTATGACTACCACATATAATGTTGTATACAAAAAAGTTTTCCACAATATTTAATAGGTAATTCTTTTTTTTTTTTTTGAAATCTTGGTATCTGATCGTGCAATAACACAAGGATTGATTGCATCTAGTAGGATTCGAACTTACCTTAAAAGGAACACACTCTTAAGACCCAAACCTCTATCATTAGGCAAATTCTTTTACTTGTTTAATACATTGTTTCTTATGAGTTGTTATTTAATTAGACTATTTACTTGTTTTACAGATCAAAATATTATGTTAATTTTAATAATTCATGTTTTATATGTCAACTTTTGGAACATGATGACAAGTTGTTGTAACACATATTATATTTTGCTATATTTCTTATCATCATTGACAACAGATAAATTATCTTTTGGATAATTAATTTTCAATCTAACAAACTCTTTTAATATTTAACTTTTACAAATATATTTATAAAAAAAATAATTACATTATCACACTTCTATTTTATTAGTGAGATGTATACTATCTCTATTTTTTTTATTATAAGTCGTTTTGCGAAAATATTTTGTACTACAATATAATTCATTTTATAATATCAATAAATCATTAATGTTATTTTTTCTATTATATTTTTAAATATTTATTATTCTTTCTCCTTTTAATTATGTACATTTAAGGATGGTAAAATTGGTCAGGTCCGCCAGGTCGGTTCGTTTGAGCCGCCATTTTTGGCGGGTTGGGCTGAACTTTTCGGTTTGGTATTTTAAGTTGGTTCGCTCCGCCTAACCCGCTTGTAAAAGCGGGTCGAGTCGGGGCAGGGCGAGTTTTTCCCACGAGTTTTTTGTTAATTTTTTATTTTACTTAGAATTAAAACAACTTTAATTATAAAAACAACATTTTTCTCTTAGGTTTATGTTGATTGAATTGTATTATAAATTATTATACAAACAAATTGAGTTATAATTGTAACGTTTTTTCTATAACTTTCTAATATATGTGTTGATTGGAAAAACTTAAAATAAAAGAACAACTGTATGTCATGCTGAATTATTAAGTTGTCAAACATTAGTTCACATGTTTTTTTTTAGAAATAAAGGTTGATTTTAAGAAAATAAATAATTTGATTAGTGTATTTATGTGACAAATTTAGGATTTAACTATTAAAGAATCAGTCAATATAAAAGTCTATACGATGTAAACAGTGAGAAAGTCATGTGTTGATATTTTATGCACTACTATTTTATATACTGTGATGTTTTATGTTGTGTAATTGTTATCATTGTTTGTCTTTTGTAAATTCTTAATTGGATTCTTTTATTAGTTAGTTTTTAAATAGAATTAAAATGATATGTATTGTTTATTTATTTATTTATTTTGATACGTTTTTTATTGTGCTTGAGTTTATTTTGTTTTTTTTGTAATTGATCTTTACTTATTTTATTTTTTTTGAACTGTTTGAATTTAAGGCATGTTCAAGTTCTATTATGCGTTCTTTAAAAAAAATCTTTTGTCAATCTCTTTAATAATAAATATTTTTTTATATAAATCATGTAATAAATCAAATTATAAAATAAAAAATAAAACATTAACGGGCCGACCCGCCAATCCGCAAACTCGTTAGTAAACGATGTGAGTTTGACTTTTGAGTTCAGATGCTTAAGTTGATCCTTCTTGCCTCACTTTTGGACGAGCTTAAACAAAACAGACTTAAACGGGACAAATTATCCACTTTACCACCTCTATGTACATTTGTCTTTTCAATATCATTAATGAAGGACAAATTTATAAAACTCTTCGTAATTTCTCTTTTTTATAACATAATTATTATATTTTTTAATTTAAAAAATCAAAAATAATTTATAATAAAAAACGGAGGAAGTATAAATATACCCTTATCCTAACTATACGTTGTTAAAGAAAAAAAAAACTAAAACCACTTACCACTATTTAATAGTATAGTAAAGCATAGAGATAAAAGTTGACCGAAAATAAATGTATAAAAGACAAAACACCAAACCAACATGTTACTTAATTGAGTTCCGAATTGACCAACTCACCCCTACTGTCTCAGCCTACCCTTCCCCCACTTGCGTCGTGGAAAAGTGAATTACATTTTGATGTTCATGACAACAATTTGCACACAATTGTACTTTTATGTATCCATCATTGTGTTTCGTGGAGATTCATTTTTCATTCTCGGTAGTAACATTCTAAGATGACCGTTAACTACAGCGACTTCAGTTCGACTTGGTACCCTGTCCTACTAAAAATGGAAATATTAAAATTTTTCTTTTTAATAAAAACAACTAGTTCATTATATTTAGGAGAGTTTTTTTATCAAACTATTGCATTTATAATAAAAAACATAAACATACACACATTTATAATTTTTTTTTCAGATAAGATATAATCATTTTTTAATGATACGCTACTCATATTTTTTTTTTGGAGGAAGTACATATTAAATTTCCATATGATAAACAACAAGTCCACAAAAGCTTCAAGTTGCATGCTGACTGTTTGCCTTTTGGTATAAATATTTTATTTTCTAAAATAAGTCAAACATGTTAAAAAATTACAAAAATCACCATTTATTAGGTTTTCTGAATTTAAAAACACATCTAGATTTTCTAGAAAATAACAAAAAAGTACTAATAATAATTTTCCAATTAGGAAATGCATTGAGGACAGCTATGCATACAGCACTGTGTCCAATCCACTTGATAACCAATGGCATAATGGTAAAAAAATAGAAATAAATGTCGCGAACATAAGGTTTCAATAATTAAAAAAGTTGCAATTAATAACATTATGCAAACAAATTGAAGATCCAAATTTCCCATAATTCATCAGAGAGAAAGAAAGAGGAGAGAGAAAGTACTCTCAATTTTACCATCGAGGACTCTCAAAAAAACGAAACTGAATCTCAGAGAGAGAGAAATTCATTGCTACGAAACGAAGCTTCGTGTAACTACATTAATGGCGGAAACGAAGGAAGAGAGTAAATCTAACGAAGAGAGTGTGAAACTTTTCGTAGGTCAAGTACCGAAGCACATGACGGAAGATGAGTTACTCACAATGTTCAAAGAGTTTGCTTTGGTTGAAGAAGTCAACATCATCAAAGACAAAGCCACTCGCGCTTCTCGAGGTTTTCTTCTTCTTCTTCTTCTCAATTTCAAATCTCGCATTCTCCGCTCTTGAATCTCGTTTTTTGGAATTTTTTGAATTTTTGAATTTTTGAATTCGTTCCCTTTTTGAACCCTAATTTTTGTTGGTAGGTTGTTGCTTTGTGATTTGTCCTTCTAGAGATGAAGCTGATAAGGCCGTTAATGCGTGTCACAATAAGAAGACGTTACCTGGGGTTAGTATAGTAATTTTATTTTTGGTTTTGTGTTGTTATAGTCTTGAATGTGATCTGTTATTATTCTGTTCAATGATATGTGATTCTGTTATAAATGGATTGTTTGTGAATTGTGACGACTACGAGTAACTTTCGCTTTTACTAGTAACGAGTTTCTTAATTGGTGGATATACTTTTTGTCTAATTTTAGCAATTTATGTTTTGGTGCTTTGTGCTATATTTGGGTAACCCACTTATCTCACTCTTATAGCTTTCATCACTGCCTTTAATGTCCTTCCACATTCATTCACTAGTGTTTTATTTTACATCTTGGTTGTGTTGTGTCCTTATTTTTGTAACTTTCTTTATTGGTCTTTGCCTGGAAGCTATTGAAGCATTTACAAGGTACTACTGTTTCGCTTCCAACATATGTAGCGAAGCTTGAACAAACTGTTATTTTTCGTAGTGATTGATAACACTGGTTATGATTTTTAAAAAAATACAAGTGATTGAATGTAAGTTATGTCCATCTGTGACACCAAACACGTCTTCAATCTGAAATGTCGGTGCTACATATGATGGAAGCCATTGGCCAAGTTTGTTGTTTTAGTTAGTCTGAATGTAACATGCATAAGCAGATACACTAGCATTATTTTAAAAAATTATCATGGCAATCAATCTGATTACACTTTTACTGTGCCTTGAATCCCTCTAGGAAGGATTTTTTTGGGGAAGGGGGTTGGGTTTATCTTATAATGTATCAACGTATCAGCCTTAAATCCTTGGTAAATTGAGGTAATATTATGATTGTCATTATTATCATTCAATTTGAGCGCTGCTTCTCATCATAGACATATAAGTTTTTATTCTTTTTATCCTATAATAATTATTAGGGAATTATTATTATATTTGAAAAAAAAATTGTCCCAAAAAAATGTCATTTTCAAATATAGCATTAATTATTTTTTTTTTACTAATTATACCATATAACTAATTACTATGGGCATCACTCCTAAGTTATTAAACTACTATTTTAAACTTCTCATTTATGCTAATGAGAATCAACCTCTCTTTTTGTCCTAGATTGAGTGATCTACTCCATCTGATCCTTAATATAAGGAAAAAATTGCTTTTTAAATTCATCGAATAATTAATGTATATAGTCTAGTGCATAGACCAAATACATTAATTATTCAATGAATTTAAATAACATTTTTTTTCTTATATTAAGGACTAGCCGTATTTGAAAAAAAAAAACACAAATTGACTTGCCTTTTCAGTTTTCAATATAACATTATTTATTTTTTAATCATGCTCTCTAATTAATTGCATCACTTTGAAGAGTAAGCATATCACTTTGCATTTATGATGAAAGTGAAACTACTAAGGATAATTATGTAAAACTACTATTCTCTCAAGCTCTACTTGGTGATACTAGTATTAGTTAATACCTTAATAGGGTTAATTTGGTAGAATTTTTATTCTACTAGTATTTCCTTAAGCTATGATAATTTTATGGAATAGATGGAGTAGTTGATTTTCCATTTTGTTATTTAACTTCTTTTAATATCAATACAATGTTATTCTTGAGGTCGAAGTCATATTCCCTTATTAATAAATGCAACTTAGAGATTGATTTATAATGTATTTACATATTCATTATATATTATATATTATACTTAAGTGTACATACAATTAATGACATTTTTTTTTGTGTGTTAATGAATAAAACCCGGAAAATTACTACGAACACTTCATTATTTACTGCAATTGGTTGAGCTTAAAGCTCTTACAATTGTGGATGAAACAGAAAACTAAACCAGAGTTCCAAAAACTCCTAAGCCAGAGGAGAATTGCTTCTAAACCAAAGTATCTCTAACAAACTTTCTAATTGAATTACTTTTTTCCACCCCTTCCTTTAATAACATAATATTCCCTAAAATTAAGGGATTATCCTAACTAATTATTATTCTCTTGTTAAGTATAACAAGTGTGAGTAGTATGGGTAATAGTCCCACATTGGCTAGAAATGTGGAGACTTGAGCATTTATAAGTGGGAGAACCCACACACTTATCACCTTAAGATTTTGGATGAATATGTAGTGTGTTTCTCACAAAGGCGTTGCTAAAAAAAAAAAAGTCCCACAATGTTTTCAATGCTCCCTAGTGAAACACTCCCCCAACATCCCTTAGCTTCCACAACCTTCTAGAAACTGTAATGTACCACCAATGCACATGCTTAACACTTGGAAAAGTATTTTGGCATTGATTGAGTGGTACAGTCAATCCTACCTATGCTTGATTGATATTGTTGATGTTATGAATTTTATTTCTTAAAACCATGGCATAGGATATGATATAATTTTTCTCCTTCTAATCCAGGCATCTAGTCCTTTGCAAGTGAAGTATGCTGATGGCGAGCTGGAAAGATTAGGTGTGGTTTATATATTGTTTTATTTAATATTTTAATCAACAAACAATTTTTGTGATTCATTCATGAAGTGAAATGATTGTATTTACATCGAAGGCATATCTTGAAAAATAATTACTTGTTGTCCTTGAATCTAGAACACAAACTTTTCATTGGCATGCTTCCAAAGAATGTTTCTGAAGTTGAAGTATCCGAACTTTTTTCCAAGTACGGAACTATAAAGGATTTACAACTTTTAAGAGGTTCTCAACAAACAAGTAAAGGTGCTGAGTCTACATCTTAAGTCATTATTTATTCTTTCAAGGTTTTTCCTTTCTTAATCACAATTCACAAGGTTGATTCATGTTTCTTCTACCATGTTGTAGTAGGTTGTGCATTTTTGAAATATGAAACTAAAGAACAAGCTCTTGCTGCATTGGAGGCAATCAATGGAAAACACAAAATGGAGGTTGATATTTAATCCTATTTTTTATTATTGGTAGAAACAAATTTGGTCCTCGCTGTTAAAAAAGTTAAACATGACTTTTTATAAAGGGAATAAAAATGAATGATGACATTTTATAGAAGACCAAAAGTTATTTTAACCTAAGTATTTGGTCCCTAAAAATATTTTGTTTTAGTCCATCTATAAAGGCCACATGTGGAACATTTAATAGCGAGGACCAAATTTGATGATTGAAAACATTTGGGAGACCATTTGAAGAAAATTTTTAAAAGGACTAAAAACAAATTAATATATTTTAAGGGACTAAAAACATATTTAAACCTATAAGAAATGTATTTAAAAATTTCATCCATTAGTTAGTATTTTACTAATGGAGGGATGGAGTGAATTAGGTTTAATATACAGTATGAAACTATATTGTTATCTTAATGAGACTATTTAGCAGTTTAATGGTACTATATGCAATTTTATTGATGCAATGAGTGCAAATTGTTGCGAAACTGCCGTGACTAAGATGGCCCAAGGGGGCTATTTTAGATTGATAATATGCTTTTGGTTACTTGCATGTGGTAGAATGGTAAAGTACATGCCTTCAAACTCAATTACAACTTTAGTTGTAAATGGTCTTTGCAGTATATTGGACCTTCAAGCGGCATCCAGCCACAAAATCCTGTTGGTGAGCGACATGAACATTTAATCATGTTCAGATTTCATTATAGACCTGCAATTGTTATTTCAGTTTTGTATCCATGTCTTAGATTGGAAACCTAATGGTGGGATTGTTTGCTACAATGGCTTATATAAGATAATGTTCCATGCCTAGGCTTGACCCGTTATGATGGCTTATATGACAGTCTCGAATTGAATCCAAGCTTGGAAAGGGGAAATCAAGCTTCGACTTGTTAAGCTTGTTACTTGTTTGCAATAAATCAGCTTGAGCTGAATAACTCTCAAGATGATTGTTGCCCATGGACAATCCCTTTTGCACTCTAGCTTATTTTTTCAAAACTACAAATTACTTTCCTTCCGGACAAACTAGTCTTCCAACAAATTACTGATCAAATACTAAATTCTCTCTAGAAAGTTATTTATTGTCACTTGGTTTATATGTTCTCTACACATACATAACAAAAGTTGACCGTGATACCACTAACATGACATGTATAAATACAATTTGATATTATTTTCTCTTGAATAGGGTTCAAGTGTTCCTTTAGTTGTCAAATGGGCTGATACTGAAAAGGAAAGACAAGCCCGAAGAGCTCAGAAAGCACTATCTCAAGCTTCTAATGTGGCACATGCTGACTCTCAGCATCCTTCGTTGTTTGGAGCCATGCCTATGGGCTATGTTCCTCCATATAATGGTTATGGTTATCAGGTTAGTTATGTTAGTAACAACAATAAAAGACTGCTATAGTTTTTTTTTATAAATAATTCATGCAGTACTTCACCATATTACTGTCATCCATTCAAAAATCATTATATTTTTTATATATGTTTGTTATTTTCCATTCTAACTTCTTGATGAGATGTGCGATGACAATAATTTTCTCTTGATAGGCTCCAGCAAGTTACGGGCTCATGCCATACCGCATGCCGCCAATGCAGAATCAAGCTGGTTACCATAATATGATGCCTCACATGAATCAAGGAAACACTTTGCGGCCTGATCTTGGCCCCAATATGAATCCTAGAAACTATCCCGTGCCTCCCGCAAGTTATGTTGGTTCTTATCCTGCTGTGCCAGGTCTACAACCTCCAATGCCCTATCCTGCAGGAATGATTAGTCCAAGGCCTATGAATAGTCCTCCCGGTTCTGTTTCGCCTTCCGGTGGAAACGGTAACTCAGCTACATCTTCAGGGTCCAGTAAAAATTCTGGCGGTGGTCAGATTGAAGGTTAGTTATACTCCTTCCATTCTTTTTTAAGTTGTTGTTTAAAGGTTATTTACTCATAGTACGAAAACTATTACTAATATTTTTGCATACAACTATTTCCTTTCAACGATAAAAGTACCTGATTCTAAATGAATGCATGCATCCTAAGCATGTTAATATATATATATATATATATATATATATATATATATATATATATATATATATATATATATATATATATATATATATATATATTTTTTTTTTTGCCATTACTATTTTCCTACAACGATAAATGTTACCTGGCGCCGGTGCTAATTCTGCATATTACTATACTTTCATGTAGGACCACCTGGCGCAAATCTATTTATCTACCACATACCTCAAGAATTTGGAGATCAAGAGCTTGCTAATGCTTTTCAACCTTTTGGTAGAGTTTTAAGTGCTAAAGTTTTTGTTGACAAAGCAACCGGTGTCAGCAAATGTTTTGGTAAACCCATGCTCTTAGTTTTGTAATCAATTTCATGAATTTTGTTTGGAGCTTGTGTTTGATGAACACTCTCATTCGCAGGGTTTGTAAGTTATGATTCCCCGGATCATGCTCAATCTGCAATTAGTATGATGAATGGATGCCAATTAGGAGGTAAGAAATTAAAGGTTCAGCATAAGAGGGACAACAAACCTGGTAAACCTTATTGATGAAGAAGAACAATGGAGTTTTGTATAATTTACATTGTAATTCATGACCAGTCTAATGTTAATACAATTTGTAATTTCTGTAACATGAAAGTTTATTTAGACATTGATTAATTTATTGATTTTTCTCTCAGAATACCTATTGATTCTATTATTCTCCTCTTAAGTTTTATTTCTAAATCCAACCTAACCACCCTTGATGTGAAGTCAATCCGTAATACAATTTCCCAGAAAAAGTGCGTAAGAATATACTATGGTAAAAGTCCATTTAAGTTGTTTGACATATTTGAATTAATTTTAAGTAAATGCAATTTTCTGTAGACATAAATCATGAAAGTCATTGTTGATAAAATAAAATAAAACATGAACATCAATCAACGCAACTACTTGTTTAAGAAAAACATCATAGGATTAGCTGATGGCAATGATAATAGCCAACACACTTAATAGATGTATGTATCCTGTCTACCACAAAAGTCAAGCATGTTGATTATTACAACTTCCATATTTTTGTGAGAAACGGGTGGCTTCCCACCAACTCTGGTCCCATTTTGATTCAATTTTCTCCCAACTCATTTCAATGAGCACCCCATGTTTCACATTCAATGCTTAGTGTGTCGTTTTTATGTTCCTTCATTTTCTGAATGGAAAATGCTGCGGCATCTACATATACCTTGAAAGGCCAAAAAGGGAAAAGAAAGAAAAAATACATGGTGTAGTTGTTCTCGGACTGGCCAAGAACTATCAATATCAAGACATACTCGGTTCATAGGCCAAATTTAGTAAAAGAGTGTTCCACTAAGGGACACATAGAGGTTCCACTAAGTGACACATAGACCTTCCTATCGGGAATCTTATACAAATCTGCGCACATATAGAAGCACGGTCTCCTCCTTCATTTCAATTGTTGATCACATCAAATGGTTATCCATACTCTGTTAAAGATCAATTAGGAATAATTCTAAATGTTTATTTTATATAAGTGTGATTCTGAGTCACACTTATTATTCTTTTCACTCAAAAAATAATTTCACCTCTCTTAAATACTGTCTTGAACGTTGAAGTACTAACTTCACGAATAATTTTTTTGGTCACCGAAGTCTATAACCACTGTACCAAAAGCTTTGCCAAAGTGGTCATATACTTCTCTCTCCAGTCTCGTATGCTTCTGTTTGAATCTTAACAAGACTTTCCAAAGTGGTCATATACTTCTCTCTCCTCTCCAGCTTCAAATGCTTCTGTTTGAATCTTAACAAGACTTTCGTGGACAACACGATTGTTGGGAGAAACAAATTAATATTTAACTTTGAATTTTTTTTGAAGCTATCTATATACACTTCAAATTTTTACGATCATGTTTGAAGTAGATTTAAGGGTGGTCAGAATTGACATATTTTTTAAAAACATGAAGCAAATGGAAGAATAACATCAATATACGAACACCATTCTTATATTTGCATTAGTGTTGAACACTTTCACATAGGTCAAACTCACAAGATGCAATTGTGAAAGATAAATTTCTAATTAATTAAGAACTTCAACTTTAAATTCATTAAAAGGAAGAGTAAATCTCATATTGGAAAATATACACTATGTAGAGACAATCTCCATATTTTATAATGACTACTAACGCGTTTACCATTTCTGGAAAAATCATCGGTCATTCCAAAGACGTTTCCACATCCCGATAAGCAATACTGAGGGGTCATCATTAGCGGAAATCATTCACATTGGGTCAAACAATCACCTAGAGGTCAAAGACTCACCCAAACAAGTGAGAGAGACACCACATATTCAACAAAAAGTTTAAGGTGATATGTGTATAGATCCTTTTACTTATAAAGTACTCAACCTTCACTTTTCTAAGCAATGTGAGACTTAAAGCTCACACTTTCTCAACACAACTCACACTTGTTTCTCAACAATCTCCCCCGCAAGTGTGAGTCCATCTTAAATGTTCTCCCTTCTCAAAATGATAAGAACACTAAAAATAAAGGTCAAAAGAGTTGAACTGCATTTCTTTTTCAAATTTCAATATTACTTCTACCTCATTGAAATCAATCTTAGTACATTCCATTCACTTCATTCAAGTTTGCACACAAGAACTCTAAATCGATAAGCTTTTCATTTCCTTTCTATTTTTGAATTGTTATGCACGTTTTAGGTAAAAATAAGTTGTTTAAAATGCATTACTTTGTAGTTATATTTAAAATAGGTAGTTTGTATAAACATGCATTCAAACTTGTTATTTATGGGATTTTCTATGTTTTCTTCATTTTCTGTAATCACGTATTTTTATGGAGATGCATCTCTGAATTTTGCTTCTCCTATTTTAGGAGATGCATCTTTGGTTTTTACTTGCCTTGATTTAGATATGATTTTCTGATTTGTAATATAGGAACGATGGATGAAAACCAGAACAGATTGAGGCACAATTGTGTATTCCAACATGCGTTCGTTCGTAAAGAGGGGTAATGCGCTCGAGGCCATAATTAGTGCTAGTTCAATTGATACAGAAACATTGACTTCACATGGTCGTGTGTCTAAAACTTTACAAGGTCGTGTATCTCAATCTTCGACCTCTCGAGGGCACGTGTGTCTTGGTGACCCTCTAGTTTATGAAGCCCCTGAAGCTCAACAAAAGGAATCTACTACTACTACTGCTCATGTTCCTGATAGTTTTCTACGAATCCTCTTTGACACCTCCTTACTTCCTCTTTGTGTAGAACGTTCGGCTAGGCATGTGTGGGAAGGAAAGGTAAATTTATTTATTTATTTCATAATAATTGAGTTGTGATTGATGATATATTTATTTGTACAGGAGCATGAAATTATAAAATCTGTAAACCATGCCAGAAAAGATTTTGAACCAGGAATAGAATATAGACACATGGTTTCAATATGTAGTTCGTTACTCTGGGCTGGAAGATTTATGCGCCACGGGATACAAGACCATTAAGAATTACATTTTGGCGGCTTTTGTGGAGAGATTACACAAGGAGACATCATCTTTCCACATCCCTCATGGTGATATGTCCATCACCATTGATGATGTCTCATGCCTTCTACAACTTTCGATTAGGAGAAGATTATTAAACCATGGCCGAATCACCAAATCCGAGGCACTTCAATTGATGGTAAACTATTTGGGAGCTGACCCCATTGAGGCCCAAGACGAGTTTGATGCCAAGAGAGGCACTCATGCCCGATTTTCATACCTGGCAGAATTATACAAATTCCACCTGGATGTGACAATGGAACCCGAATATGGTGATAATGAAGGTTTTGTTCTAAAGACAATGTGCATTGAGATCATACTTCTTGGTACTTGGTTGACACAACAATATTTGTGGACAAAGTACAATATACGTTGATATTGTCTACTTGACATACTTCATCAACTTAGAGCGGATCCACAGGTACAACGAGAAGGGTGGGGGGGGGGGTGTTTGGTTTATCAGTACTCTAAGTGAAGCTTTTCTTTGGAAGTCAAGACAGACAACAGGAAGTTACACACTATTTATGATAATATATTTGTAACTTTTAGTGTTACTAATGTTTTCATAACACCCGGGTTAAACTTGTTACTAATATTTAATCTAAATAATTTTTAGGCATGGATCATGTCTCATTTTCCTCGCATATCCAGCTGGGAACCTGAGATGGACTACACGGAGGAATGACCACGCGCTTGTGCATTTTCTCGTTCAGAGGGAATCAAGCGATTAAGTTGTACACGATGTTTATCAAGTGCACTGTAGTAGACAACATATGCTTTTGACCGTACGACAATCACCATCATACACGTCCCTTGGAAAACATAGCCTTCTACTCTGGATGGTTCGCTTGTGATCGCGCCTGATGTATCCACATTTTCCTGAGCGGATCATGCGCCAATTCAAGTTTCTTTAGATTATTTCAAGACATCCCTATGTGTTTGCTCCCTCGACAGTCTGCCGCAGAGATCTTGATGTCATACTCGATAATTTTATAGTCATCTGGTATCAGATGAGGCACACAATATGCCAGCTATTGATCCATGGGCTGCTACATAGGACTACATCCATTGTCTCTATCAACTATCACATTTTTACATGACACTAAATGCCGCAGGAGTACCACATATACCAACTCATCAGGATATATTGGAAGATGAACAAGCTAGGGATGACGATGCCCATGATCTATTGTCGGTTTGTCATCGTATTGGAGCGATTACAAGAGATGCCATAAAGAGAGGAGATTTTGAGGAGGACAGTTCTAGTATGGCCGCCGTACAAGCCATTTTAGCCGAGACACATAATGTCTTCGAGTACAGGTGGCAGAGGAGAAACCTGAGATTAGATATACACAATAGTTTATTTAGATTTACATTTTTGGTAACAATTGTATTTTTTGAACAAAATATGTATCGTGGTAACGTTTTTCATTAATTGATTAATGTTTGGATATGTATTAGTGTTTGGATTTATATATACATCCTTGAATTATATTAGTATAATTCGCATTGTGTTGATATATCCAAGTGTAAATGGCCAAAAAAATAAATATCAATATGACACTTGTTGTCAAGACAAAAACACTCAAATATTTTCAATGATTATTCTGAAGATGTATCTACGAAATCACCCATAAAAAATTACGGAGATACATTTCCAAAGTTTTTTTTTGTTAATAAATTTGGGATGGATGATTCACTTGTGAAACACAAAGTACTCTCAAGGATAATTCAAAATTGTATCTCCATAATTATTTTAGGTGATTCCGCATATACATCCCAAACTAATTTTTAACAAATATAAAATGAATGACTCACTTATGAAATAATTTGCATTTTAGATGCGTTAAGAGATTAATCTCTAAAATATAAAAACAACAAATTCGATTTTTCAATTGTTCACCCTCATTTCCATGTAATAGATAAAGTAATGTTCAAAGTGACTAAAGATTTTTCTAAGTTGTCTGCCTTAATTAGTTTCATGTAGCTATGCAGCCCATAACGT